AACAATATTCAACTATTGTTGGACAATTTTTTCTCTTATACAGTTGATAACTAAAGCCTGCATAAAAGGATCGAGCCTTGATCGCCAACAACAGTGTTCAACTCTTATTGGACGATTTTTATTCCTTCTTACGATGAAAAAATGGAGAATGTATAAGAGGGTCAGGCCTTGATAACCACTAATAGTATTCAACTCTTACTGGACTATTTTTTCTTCTTCTATGGGGGACAATTAGGGGTGTCAATATTTGACCCGACCTGAAAACTCGACCCGAACCTGACCCGAAAATTTCGAGTTCGGGTCAAGTCGAACCCGAACCGAGTCGGGTTCGGGTTAGGGATTTTGACCCGTTTCTAAAACCGGGTTGGGGTTCGGGTTGACCCGGAAACCCAAAATCAACCCGGTTTGACCCATTTTTAATTAATTTAGGAGGATTTTAATGGATTTTTATGAAATAAGTAAATGATATTTCAAAAAATTATAAACATTATTGCCCAAATTAAATTAATCTTGATTTATTTTAAATTAATTGAAGTAAATCTTACCTTAATTTGATTTAGATTTAAATAAATTGAATTAAATTTAAAAAATAATAAAATATATCAGAATCGGGTCGGGTTCGGGTTGACCCGGACCCGAAGCGGGTTGGGTTCGGGTTAGGAAAACCGACCCTTGCAAAAACGGATCGGGTTGAACAGTATCGGGTCAATTTCAGGTTGGACCTGAACCCGACCCGTGATCCGGTTTGACAACCATAGGGACAATTGGAGCCAGCGTATGAGGGCTAGGTCTTAATCATTGCCAAAGACACAGTTAGTTAAAAACACCACCTCAAAGAGGCGGCATTGTCACTGCCTCATAGAGGCAGTTAGTTATAAAAAAAGAGTTAATTAGAAGCATTGTAGCTTGCCCTTATGCGTGCAAATCACACGCTAGCGCGTTGACGCTAGCACCTTTAGCTGCTGATGGTGGTTGGCAGGTTGGTTCGGTTTCTTGTATAGATTTGAGTCTGATTTTTGGCTTAAAAATTCTGATTCATATGTTTTTGGATCATCATGGCCATTTTTTTATGTTCTAGATTCAATTTTGATACTTTTTGAGCTCCATGGAGCCTCTACAGTCAACCTAGAGTAAATTAAATTTTTTTGGAGCATAATCTATTTATGTGATGGATATTCGTGCATCGCTAAGATAAAAAAACTCTCTCCCTCTACCACTTGGAATTTATCAATCTACAATATTATTCATGAATTGTATACTCTAATAATTTGATGAATCAAGCATAAATGATATTATGAACCAGTCCTGATAAACTCTAAATCTTTATATGAACTCTGATAAAAAGAGAAAGTTAAGTGCAAGTAAAACTTTGATAGTAAGTGTTATTTGACATCTTTGATATTTCTATAAAAGTAAACTATGAAAGTACAAGCAATACCCTGAAATCGAGTACACTCCAGTTACTCTAAAGAATCATATTATGCTAGAATTTTGTTTATTCTTTACTAAATTATTAAATATTTAAATAAATTTTTACAATTATTTTATTTAGATATTGATTCATGTGATATGCTCGTGAGAGAAATCTAATGAGCTAGTTGTGCTCACCCTATAACTTTTTTGACATTTAAAAAAAAGTAAATGGCCCAACAGAGTAGAGAGAGAGAGAGAGAGAGAGAGAGAGAGAGAGAGAGAGAGAGAGAGAGATAAGGACATGGTCATTTGGTTTTGAACACTTAAATCATTTTGACATTCAATAATAATTCTTTTGATATATAAATCAAATGTAAATTGGATTATTGTATATGTTATTTTGTAAAATGAAATAAAATGATGGTTAGTTTAGTATTATTATTTTATGATATTACTTAGCTTTGGTTTCTTCTTATCACAACCCGAACCTATATGACCCGATATCACACAGGTCATACCGTATCAAAAAATTTCAATTTATATACTACACAGAGTCACTATTGAATGCTATATAAACCAATTGACTACTGAATCTCAACATGATATTTTTTCTATATATCATCCAAAATATATATAATCTGAAATCCACTGGCTTAGTCGTTGGTCTATCATAGACCAAAAAAAGACTTGGTTATAAAGTAATTTTTGTAAAATGAAATAAAATGATGGTTAGTTTAGTATTATTATTTTATGATATTACTTAGCTTTGGTTTCTTCTTATCACAACCCGAACCTATATGACCCGATATCACACAGGTCATACCGTATCAAAAAATTTCAATTTATATACTACACAGAGTCACTATTGAATGCTATATAAACCAAAAGACTACTGAATCTCAACATGATATTTTTTCTATATATCATCCAAAATATATATAATCTGAAATCTATATACAACAGTGCTTGACAACAAAGAGCACAATAAAAATAAAAGTAAAGACTGCAAAAATAGAAACTAACTAAAACATACATATAGCACAGATCATAGCTTGCTATCACAACTATACTCATCTCGCTCCTTACCCTTTCTCGGGCCTGAAAACAAAAGCAAAAGCAGGAATGAGCTAATACGGCTCAGTAGGCTATCACAGCCTAAAACAAAAATCAATAACCAAAACTAAAAGAACTGAGAACACTATGTTGAATCATATACTGAAATTAAATATAATTAAATAAATACTAAACTGAATTGAATTATAAGCAAACACATCATAATATAATCCCACCTCAGTCGCCCACTAGCGCCGACATAACAAAATCCCACCTCAGTCGCCCACTGGCGCCGGCATAATAGAATCCCACATCGGCCTCCCACTAGGGCCGAGATAACAGAATCCCACCTCGGCCGCCCACTGGCGCCAGCATAATAGAGTCCCACCTCGGCCCCCACTGGCGCCGGCCTAACAGAATCCTACCTAGGCCACCCATTGGTGCCGACATAATATCACAACACTTTACAACATATATTTTTAATATATTTCATTAATTAAAGTATAATTGGACTGAATTTAAAAATTATCAAAATGTCTCAACGGTAGACAACAAGAATACTACTGAGTAAAAATTCATAATTTTCAAACATAACCAAATTATCACAAATTGTGTAAAACATTATTCAGAAGTTTTAATTGAACTGAAGCAATATTTTTACATGTCAAAATAAAATTCTGAGTAGCAAAAAATCTATGTTTGTTCAAAATCACCCGGCAAAATTTTTCAGAATATACTCAAAATATTCATAATCATAATCTCTACAAAATATAAAAAATTTACACGGTTAAAGTTTTACTAAAATAAAGTTATTGTCATTTTTAATAACGAAATATAAATTTGAGCTAAGAAATATCAAAAACACAAAATTATTGAAATTTGAAATAGGCAAAATGTAACCTACCTCGAGACGAGCAAATTTTCCAATTGGGCCGACACATAAAAATCTCTTTACGACTGCCAAAACCTAATTTCCCTTTTCTCTCTCCTCCCTTTTCTTCTCTTTCCTCAAAACCATTTCTATGTTAACATGAATGAGAAGAAATTAAGGGATTTTAAATAATTTTAAACTTAAGTGACTTTAGATATATATATTTTTTAATAATAGTATAATAATATTATAATCAATTTTTAATATTAAATTCATATAAATACATATTAGGCTTCAAAATTTATAGAAATTTTTTCATAAAATAACTTATTTTATTTAAAAAATTATAATGAAATTGGTTTGCAAAACAGACACCTGACGCTCCTAAAACCCTCACTTGTACCATTAGATGCGGATTTCTTAATGAATTTCACATGTGTCTAAAAATTATGAAAAAATTAAAAAAACTAAAGTAAAATAATAGAAATGTTATGGATAAGATGATTTATGATTTGAGCTTATAACAACTCTCGAATAAATCTTTGACTGCTATAGGCCAAAATACAGTTTTCAAAATTTTGAGTTATAACACTTCTACTTTATGGTTGTGTTAAAGTTTTAATCCTTCAATTAGATCCGAGGGCATTACATGGGTGAGACCCCATAGTTTTTCCCTTTTTTCAATATATTTCTTTTACCTTTTATTTTTAAAAGATTTTTCATGTAAAAAATATGGTGTAACTTATGATTTTTGCACTTCTCTCTCTTATCTGTGCGTGTTGGATATTCGTGCAAAGTTAGAATATTAAACTCTATATCTCTTTATCGCTATGAATGTTTCGATATGCAACAAGATTAAAATCTCATTATATTAAATAATCAAATTGAGACTTTTATCATTGATATGAGATCTAGTGATACATTCATAAATTTAAAAAAAAAAGTAGAGATTACACAAAGATTGATGGTGACAAAGAAAAATGATATCTTACTTTTGATGTTCATGCTTATAAAATTTGGTTTGATATTGCCAAGTGCTACAACAATGGTCAAATGAACATTCCCATTTATGAAGATTGTGTTGGATCATTTCCGCAATCATATGGGGGGCTCTTAAATGAATGATTATTTGATTACTTATACTGAAAAATATATAATTTTTAATAGTATTAATAATGAAATGATTGTATACCTATTTGAAAATTTGAATAATTGAAGGAAGAAATTGTACATGATATATGAGGTGAATATAAATAGTATATGTTCTCGATTATAAGTTTGTTTTAATTATATTATTTATCTTTTATGGTAACAAATCTAATTATTTTTTTAAACCGCTAATCACGTTCTTAGCCTAGATAAATAAAGAATTAAAATTCATAATTTATGCTCTCACAAAAAGAACTTTAATAATCCTATCTTTAATCAAAATTTATACAAATTTTATTATAATCATGATCAAGGCTTAGTTTGAAATGACTTTCTTATCGTTTTCTAAAATAATTATATGATAATATAGATGGTATGAATGAAATATAAGAGTGACATATTTGATATTAAAATTATCTATAAATAATAAATATGAAATATTAAAATTTTAGATATTAGATATATGAATAATATGATATAAAATATATATATATATATAAATTCTCCACCCCCCTCCCTACTCCTCCCAACAAAAAGAAAAAAAAAAACCATTGCCCTTCCTGCCTTCCACACCGGTTCTTTGTGTCGTTCTCCTCTCGCAAACTTCACAGCCGCCTCTCTCTCTCTTCTCTTTATGGCGTCCGACGATTCTCTTCATCTCTCCTCGTTATCGCCTCGTCGCAAGCGCGAGCGTTCCCCTTCCCTGAGCTCTAGTTCTGGCAGCGACAATGCCAAGGCCAGCCGCAGACAGCGTCGGCGACACGACCTCTCTGTCGAGGTCTGTAAAGAATTCATCCGCAGAGCCTGCCGGCGAGCTGAGATTGCTTGCAAATTTGCCCACCCCCCCTCCACCGTTACTATCGAGCGGTGTGTTTCTTTATTGATCGATTTCAAATCCCTTGGATCTCATCCTCCTCTCCTTCTTTGTCCCTTTCTCCACAATTTTTCAAAATCACAACCGTTTCATGGATATTTAGGGGTAAGGTGATAGCTTGCGCCGACTCATTGCACAACAGGTGCTTCCGTGGCCGGACCTGTCGTTACTTCCATCCTCCGCCTCATATCCTGGAGTACATCCTTTCTCTTTCTTATTTGAACTTCTTTAGGGTTTCGGATTGAAGAGATTATTACGTGCGGAGTGAGCTGTTTTGAACTTCTTCGGATTGAGGAGTTGTTTTTTTTTTGGGAAATTTACATACATACCACTTTATAACAAAAGACTATGTGGGCTAACCCACTCATTGTGCTTCCGCCAGGTCTCTTCTCAAGTCAATTGGCATGGAGGACACCAAACATCTAATGGTAAGAACCCGTTTTTGCGCTTTTGCAAAGAGCTCATTTTTTAAAACACTTTTTCGTTATTCTTTCACAGATGTTACGGGCGCACACAATAACCACTTATCTTTCTTTATATGGCATCTGTCGATTCTTTATTTAACTATTTTAATCATCATCGCCAGCGCCAGCGATCACCTTCCCAGAGCCCTACTTACGACGGTGATAATGCTGAATCCAGCCCCAGACAGCGTCGGCTACACGACCTATCAGTCGAGGTCTGTAAAGATTTCATCCGCAGCGGCTGCCGCCGAGCCGAGATCGACTGCAAGTTCGCCCATCCCCCCTCCGGTGTCGCCATCGAGCGGTGTGTTACTTTCATCATCGATTCCAAATTCTCCTTGTTGTCTCTTTCTTCACAATTCCTTAAACTCACTACCGCTTCATGTATCTGTAGAGGTAAGGTAATAGCCTGCATCGACTCACTTCGTGGCGAGTGCATTCGCGGTCGGACTTGCCCTTACTACCATCCTCCGGCTCAAATCCAGGAGTACATCCTTTCTCATTCTTATTTGAACTTACCCAGGGTTCCCGTTTCAGACCCAATCACTTCAACTGAAAGTTTTTCCCGCTATTTTTTTCCCAATAAAAGACTAGCTTCTATATGTGGGGTCTAACTGGTGTCATTATGCTTTTGCAGGTCACTTCTCAAGGCAATGGGCATGGAGGACACTAAAAATCCGATGGTAATACTAACATTCACATTTTCTTCTCCCCCGAATTTTTTACTCTTCTGTTCCTTCAACAAAATGGCAGATGTCTAGATTTCTTTTTATTGTACAATGCAAGTAGGAGTAATTACGAGAGTGATAGGTAACCTCCCTTCCTAGAGCAGGTGAGGCAGTGAAATTGCCCGAGTTGGCTAATGGATGGTTCAGAGTATGGTCAGATTTTTTTGGGGGAAAGAAATGAGTGGCGTGCAATGAAGAAAATTGTGGCCATTGCAGTGACAAGATTACATATTTATATAGTGGCAATCAAGCAACGAAACTTTTTGATACCATAAAAATAGTATTAGGTTTTTCTAATGCAATTAGAATGATATTTAATTCACACTTAGGAACTTATGGTTTGTAGATCACAAGACATACAATACACCAGCAAATTGTTTTCTGGAAATGCAAATAATAAATACTAGATTATAACCCAAATTATGATGTAACGATTGAGTAAATTCTAAGAATTTAGAGAGAAATATGAACCACACAAAATCAACCAACAATTGCAATTCAATCACCGTAATTAGGATTCTATTTGTGCTACAATTCGGACAAAGTACGAACACTGGTAAGCCAATAATAAATTATGTAGAATAAATTAAAACAATAATATATTTTATTAGAAATTTATACCTCGTGTTAGGACATGGAGATGATTTCCCTTCAACTATTTTAGTTGCACTTTTGCCACAATTGATGAAAATATATGTATAACTTACACACACTTCTATTGCCTATAATTATCTATCCACAAACCTAGTAAGAGCATACCATAACATGCTCATAGCTTTCACTAGCCACCAAGCACTTCTACACCAAACCTTAATCCCCACATTAAAAATCCTAGTCTAGATCCCCTCTTGTTTTGACTTACCCAAGCTAACTTTCAACCCCTCTACCACTCTTAGTCCCTCTTTACAACCCTCTTAAACCCTACTAGCCCCTCGCTACCTTTCGGTACACCTAACACAAGTATTACCTAAGATCCATAACAAATCACAACAAACCAAAAGCTTCAAGAATTATTCCTTACAACATTGTATCACTTGAGCTATTTAATAATCAACTATCAATCCATAATCTCTCTGATTTTTTACACAACTTCACCAATGTCACCCCAAGCCCTAACCAAATATTCAAGGTGCTTTTTTTCATCAAGATCCTACATCCAACCTCCATAATATTATTAGTTTAGGGAGCACACAACACCATTAATTCAATTTTGTTTTGTCTCATAAGACTTTAAATCTTTCCAATTAACTTAAATGGTAATTGTCCTATTAGAGGAATGCCTATTGCTTGAGAAGTTGATCAAGGATCTTTCTGAATCTTTATCAATTTCCAGCATTTAGTCTGAGATTTTCAACCAAATGAAAGAATAAAGCATTTTTTGTACTCTTGATGTTGAACAATATTTTGAGGATCATATAGTGATTAACAATAATTTTCAATACGAAAGTCATTGTACATGTTTTGGACATATCGACGTAGTATCATCTGAAAAAGAAGTGATAAGTAAGTGAGTAGGTGCTAGATTTACCTTAGTATATTGAAAATAGTGTAATCTCCTTTTGTTGGCCGTTATAATTTGAAGGAATTCAATCCAAAATATTTGGTGAAGAGTAAAAAAGAATATTGTTGACATAATAGTTTGAAACCATCGGGTTGACAATGTTATTATTGCGATGTATTCTAAATTGATTTCATCATCATGCTCTAACTAGTGCTTTTTCGAATGAGCCCATTTGGAACTCTAATTCTTATTACTTGGATGAGGTATTTTAGTCTAGTACACAACTCAACAACTTGGGCTTGAGTTGCATATATTGGAGCGAATAATACTAGATTTGAGGTTTCTGTAGCATAGTGAATGGAACTACATTTATGCTTAGAGAATATGTGAGTTATTTTAGTCTAGTACACAACTCAACAACTTGTGCTTGAGTTGCATATATAGGAGCGAATAATACTAGATTTGAGGTTTCTGTAGCATAGTGAATGGAACTACATTTATGCTTAGAGAATATGTGAGTTGGGATCATCAACATTTTATCTTCTATGGCCATTTTGTTTTGTTCTATTTTGCCAAAACTGAATAGCACTAGATGTGAACAACAAGAAATCTCCATATGGAGTTTGGAAGTATTTAGAGATAACAAAATAAATTTAGTGACCTCCATCCACTATTTTGAGTGAGAACTTTTACTATGATTTTTAAAAGAATACAAAATTGGGCATGGAAGTTGTAATTGAACGAACCGGAAAGGATATGTTAGAGTCATGCCTTATTTTCTCTCCAATTTACCTTATATGGTTTTTCACTGCCCCTATAGATTGTAAGTACACGTTGCATCACTTGATGGATTGTTGTTTCATATCAATATGATGGTGTCGAGCAAATTTGGTCTCATTTGTGTTGAATGATATTGTTTTAAATGCGTGGACAATTGAATGTTTAGAAAACCCATCATAATATTAATTATGCAACACTTTGGTGGTTCAACAACATCTTCATTCATATTTAGGGATTAAATTAGTTGGCCAACAAAGTTTGTTCATATTGCTCTAGGTTATCACTATGCAGTTTGCACCACTGAATTTACCATGTAAATTTATCATGGGACATTTGGATGGTCCTAATTTCACTATCAAATTTGGATGATGAATCAATTTATAGAAGCGTCCTTGCTTCATTTCTTTTAAATTATCTCTTTTCAAACCCGAATCCATACTCAAAAAAATGGGTGTGCCACAATTTGGTTGGGCAATTTGTCACGCCAGCAAATATTCTGCATTGTTCGTGGAAGGATAAAAAATGTTCTACCTTGTTGACTAGCTGAAAGAAATTTATAGATTGCAATGTTGAGAAACAATTATTTTACTACAAGATCTACTTGATGGTTATCATGATTATTATCATTTTTCAGTTATCTCCCTTCTAATCTCGAGCAATTAAGTTCATTCTTATATTTAACATACGAGAATGAATGTAATATTCTTAATTAATATAAATGCTCCACTTGAACTCCTTTTTCGTGCTCTTATATTTAAAGAATTTTTGATTACATACAATTGTCTCGTGTCTATTTGTCTCAAAATGTTCAAATTAGCATGCTTTCCTTAACATTTTATATACTCATGCTGTTTGTAGAGGCATATGCTTTTCTTCAAAAATTAAATTCCTTTGCTTTTTTTTGGTAACAACCTTTATTTAACATTTTGTTTGAAGGCTTTACAATATCTTGGATCATCAGTTAAGCTTCCAAGTTATACTCAACCAGGAAATGGTACAACTCTATACACAGAACATTATAATGCGTGCCTCTTTCCAATTGAAGTATCATAACCTTTTAGTTCCAGACAGCTTCTTGTTTCTTTTTGGCATTATGGTATGCCTACTGTTGAGGAGCCGGAGTATAATTTCTTTTTGCACTTATTTCATCTTAAATTCTTCTCGTGGACTGTTTGGCACAAAAGATAGCAATTCTGTTATAGTTATTTTATAGTTTTTTCGAGTTTGCTCATTCTGAACAGTCAATCAATCTGTTACAGTGAATATTTTTCTGTTGAAAAAATGAATATCATGCTTCCCTTTGCTTGAAAAACCCAAGAATAACTTAACTGGGAATTATTAGCTTAGATGATTGAGATGCTGGAGCTCCACACTGAACAATTTTGCCTATCTTTTGCTCACTTTTGATTTGCACACTTTCAGATCAGGAATTTATACCAGTGTGTCGGGATTTCCTGAAGAATGCCTGTAATCGCCGTTCTTGTAAATATGCTCATCCTGATTCACATGCAACGGTATGTATCTACAGATTCCATAATATGCAACAAGCGGGTCGCAGTTTTTTTATTCTGAGACTTGAGATATTTACCAAAATTTTGGCAATCTGTTTCAGTTTAGGTTTGAATCTCTTCATTAGACTTTCGGTTTCAGAAGCACGGTTGTTTAATCTTATTGTTTCAGCTAGTTTTACTGATTATTTGTTGAGTTAAAATAATTTAAAAATATTTATTTTAATCATTTAATCCATTATGCCATACTTAAGAATATTAATAATTAATAACTATATATGCTTTTGCCTTAATAAAAACATTTTTAAAATCAATTTCTCCTTAGCGTTATATGTAACTTTGTTAATCATATAATAAAGTATTTTGATTGATTAAGTAAATTATTGTTGTTTATTTTTGTAACTTTTTTAGTTTGTTTTCGTTCGATATTATCTTGATAGAAATGCTAGCAGAACAACGACAACAACAACATCAAGCCTTTATCCCATTACCTGGGGTGGGCTACATGAATTCTTTTTCTCTATTGTGTCCTATTAAGAGTCAAATTATCATTTAAATCTAATAAAAAAGATCATTTCTAATATTTTTTTAACCAAGTCTTTTTATGTATTCCTCTACTTTTCTTAACATAAGCCAAATCTAATACATCTACTCTCTTAATTGAGTCATTGTAAGGCCACCGTTTTATGTGACCAAACCATGTAAGGTGACTCTCTCTTATCTTATCTTCCACTGGAGCTATTCCAACCTTTTCACATATATACTCGTTTCGTTTCCCGTCTCTAAGAATAAAGCCGCTCATCCACCTGAGCATCCTAATATCTGCAACACTTAACATAATATTATGCTTATCATTTAATGGCCAATATTCTGTGCCATAAAGCATTGCATGTCTCGCCACCATATTGTAAAAAGTTTCCTTTAATTTTGAGAGGGACTTTTCTTTCACACAATAAGCCGGATGCATTCCTCCACTTGAAGCTTCCAACTTGAATTCTACTAATAATATCCCCATCTATTTCACCATCACTCTGAATAATAGACCCAAGATATCTAAAACATGTATTCATATTAATGACTTGATTGCCCAAATTCACAATTGCCCCACTAGATTTATTATTACTAAAATTATACTCAATATATTTAGTTTTATGTCTACTTAAACGAAAACCTTTAGACTCTAAGGTTGACCTCCATAATTCAAATTTACCTTCAACTCCCTTTTAGTCTTAACAACAAGAAGAATATCATTAGAAAAAAGCATATCCTAGGGTTTCAACCTTTTGCAAATGTCTAGTGAGAATATCCATGACTAAAACAAAAAGATATCGGCTTAAGGCCGATCCTCGATTTAATCCTACTGAAATATGAAAATACTTAGTCAAACCACCTTGTGTTTGAACATAAGTAAAAAATTGTTGTATACATATCCTTAATGGCTTGAATACAAGCATTATTAACCCCTTTCTATCTTATAACTCTCCATAGCACTTCTCTTTGAACTTTATTATATGCTCTTTAAATCAATAAATATCATATGTAGATCCTCCTTATTCTCTCTATACTTCTCCATCGAATCTCTCAATAAATATATAGCTTCCATAGTAGACCTACTAGCTTGAATCCAATCTGATTTTGAGAAACATTAGTATCACGTTGTAACTTATGCTCCATAACTCTCTCCCATAGTTTTAAAGTATGACACATTAACTTAATTCCTCTATAAGTCACACAATTTTATGCATCACCTTTATTCTTAAAAATATGAATTAACACACCCATTCTCCACTCATTTGACAATTTTTTAGTCTTCAAAATAATATTAAAAAGTTTAATAAGCCAAAGAATTCCATAGTCTCCTAAGCATTTTCACACTTTTATTGACATATCATCAAGTCCAACAGCTTTTTAACACTTAATTTTCTTTAAAGCCTCTCTAACTTTGATTTTACTAGTAGGCCAATAAAAACAAAAATATCTATTTTCATTTAGGATTCTAAGGTCACTAAAGTCAATCATATTCTCTCAATCTTTGAAAAGCTTAGCAAAATTTCTCATCAACATTTGTTAAATATCCTCTTCTAATAAAAGCATTTTTTGATCTTCATTCTTAATGCACTTCACTTGAACTAAATCCTTACTATATCTATCTCTTTGTTTGGCGAACTTATATATATATATATATATATATATATATTGTCCTTTTTAGTATCTAATATTTTATATAAATAATTAAAAACTAAAATCTTAAAATCTTATTAGCTAGATTTATACAAAATAAGATTGAAATAAATTAATTGTTATTTATAGGCTTTACCATATTAAACAGCCATCGTTTCATACTAACACAACAATAAATAGCTGATGCTAGTAAACCAAGCATCTCATGAAGTTAAATTTTTTGAGTTGAATATTTGTTTTGATAAATAACTTGGTGGAAGGATTATTTTCATTGGCTGGGTAAGGATTAGTCTTTTTAGTTATAGAAACAAAACCTTTTTTTTTCTTGAAGTGAAGGAATTTTAAATGACTATTGTTGAGAGCTTGTGAAAACTGATTGTGTGGGCGTATGATCGTTGTCTAAAAGTGGTTTTGAGTTGTGCATGAGAGTTTAGGTGATGCTATGAATACAAGTATTTTTTGAGAAACAAGGAACACGTATGTTGATAGAGGTGATTGTGAAGTCCATTTTTAGGCTCAAAATCCTTTATTCTGGCTCTGGAGTAAACGAAAAAAGTTCAGGATCTCATATTATCTGACTGAGAGCCGAAAAAAGGTTAGGATCACATGTTTGATTGCTATCAACCAAAACTGATTCCTATTGACCATTATCATTGATTCCACCGTGTAATTAAAAACTTGGATTTTTATTGTTATCTAATTAAAAATTTGCCATTGCATCAACATCATTCTATCATGATGAAGTTAGCAAGTTTCTTTCATAGCAGGAATGAACAGTTGCTACAATAACTATTACTTTCACCATTATTATAACTACTTTTTTAATTAGACTGACGGCCGCATATTTTTCTTGAAAGATATTTAGTGTTCATTTTTAATATATATTGGTGTAATGAGGGTTAAATGGAGCTTTTATGGATTGTAAAAACACCTATGTGATTAAAAATAACTTTTGCTGTGAGGCGTGCGTGAGTCTTAAGATGACCTAGAGTAATTGAGTTAGAGCCCAATTTAGCTTAGTTCAGTTGTTGGCACTTAAATAAGCTTAGAATGGCATGGTCTAACCTCATACAACATGCTGTATTATGTTTGTTGATGCTTGGATAACTTGAATTAGCGCTTAAACAACCTTGAATTGGCTCAATTGAGCCAAATTGGTTCGGTTGGATGAACTTGATCCCTTTTTGTTTCCATCCCATTTGGGTGAGAGGGCTGTGGTAGGAACGGCGACAGTTAGGGTTGTCAAAATCTGGTCACAGATTGGGTTTGGGTCGAACCCGGAACTGTTCCAACACTAATTGACCAACCCGAACCCAACCCGTTTGAAAAACGGGTCACTTTCTTGGACCCGAACCCAACCTACATCCGACCCGAGTCAACTCGACATGACCCGCCAACCTGTTTGTGAAACCTGCTCAACTAGAACTATTAGATATCCAGTAAAGTGTGTTGTCATCTACCAAAACAAACACTTCTACCAGGATTAAAAGCAGCAGTCATCCATAAACTTATTGAATCTGAAAAATAAAAGCACTTTCAAAATCAACATATTGAAGGGCAGTCACAATAAACCTCACATTCTCATCAATCTTCTTACTTCAATACATTCACTTACTGCGCATGCATATTTCAAATGCATGTATCTTTCCATCAATTACATAAAAAACCAGGAAATACCTAAACAAAAAAGCACACAAGACAAGATATTAAAGACTAAAAAACAGTATTTCTTCTGTTGAAACAATGACAATGGAATAAATCTAATCTCTGTTTGCTTGGATAGACCAACCTATTGCGAATAGTTGCAACGACGCCTCTTCTTGTAGCCACAGTCATCACTGAGAATTGATTCCTTTTAAAGCTTCGAGTTAGAGGAGACGGGAGAGAGAGCAGCCCGACTCTAGTTCTTCTGAGTTGTGCGAACCAAAGAGGAGCGGGAGATCGAGGAGTTAAGGAGGCGTTGGAAAAGGTCAGTTAGGGTCAACTTCAGGTGAGCGGGTTGACCCGGACCTGACCTGTTTTTTTCAAATGGGTCAAATCCTTGAACATGAACCGGACCCGTTTGCAAAGCTAGTTGACCCTAACCTTGAATTTTTGAGTTGTGTCAAATAGACACATCTAGCAACAATTGATATGTTTTGAAACATGATGGTGAAGATATATCTTCTTTATCGGGTCTTGCTACGTGCAAGAGATATGTTAGTTTCCGTTATTTCCAATGGTGTGCTTTCATCACTATGCATATCACTTTGGAAAGTTTAGACTTAGCAAACTATTATGCCTCTTAAACTCAATTATTTCATAAATTGTTCATCTTTAATATCTTTGGATCCATATAAAACTGGCATGACATTGTTGTTTGTTTTTGTTGGATTGATTTAAGAGGCTGCGAGACTTTTGTAGAAATGTTCTCATCAATTTATCTACCAAATATTCATTTAATTATCATCATGAATGCTCTTGTTATATCGTCGCCTATAATGTGAGATATTTATATCAATATTTTAATACTTTACTAACAGCGTTAATCGTTAATCGCTGTCATCAAATCATCATTGGGAATTTCAAGAGAGTTGTGTTGGATGCTCTAACGTAGAGGAATGGCTCATTCAATGAAAGTTGATCATGGGAGGCTTTGATCTCGATTGTTTGTTAAAGATAAATATGAAAGTTAATCTTTTTAAGGACCAAAATGACTGTCCAAAGAAACATAAGCAAGTTTCAAATTAAATTCATTTGTAAGATTTACTATTTGATTTTGTGTTAGAGAATTTTTCATCCCTTTGAAAATGTGCTATTGTTTATTGCTCTTGTTATAGACCCACATATTGTTTGTTTTTTACACTAACAAAAGACATGATGCTTGTTGCAACATGCTGATGATGAGTACACCACTTATCACCAATTGTAATTGATTGATTTACTGTTTGTTATAAGGTCTATTTGAGTAGCTTTCTCAGTGCTTTGTTTTTCAGACCAACTACACACTTCTATTTGGCTATTATTCTTTTTCAAAAATTTCTGTAGTGAGAAAGCTGCATTTTACAACAAGGTCTGCTAAATTATAGTAGCAGTAAGAAAGTTATTTTTTATTTTTATTATAAAAAGAAAATATGTATAATACCGATAACAGTTTTTAAAAGAGTTATTTTTCTCTACAATAACTTTACAACTATCTTCGTAAATTTGTTGCGGCCTCGAAGGGACCTTCAGTTGTCACGATGATCATGCTACGCATTGAATTCTTTGTTGGTGGAATTATACTTGTTACATGTCGACCAGTGTGCTGCTCATTTCAACAATTTGATAATTACTGTGAATCCATTGTCACTCATTGTGAATTGGTATCTCTATCGATGCATTCATTGACAATAAAGGTTTCGTTTATTGCGTCTAGTCAATGACAACACGATTTTTAAAACTATGTTAATCAATGCACTACAATCCGTATGCTAGCACAATTTGGAGACACCAATACACTGATACAGCGATTCCTTTGGAACCGCCTCTTGAGGCGGTTCCTTCTGAACCGCCTCAGCCAGCCCATCATGGGCCGGCTCTTGTATACCAAAGGAGGCAATTTCGCCTCCTTTCTTGCCCAAATTAAATTACCGCCTAAGGGTGGGGTCCACGGGATTTGAATTTATTTGAAAATTATTTTTAGGAAAGATTTGAGGAGGTGGAAAAGTCTTTAAATAGGAGAGGTAAGGGGTAGGGAAGGGCATGCAAGTATTGTTTTCTTCTTGGAGTTTCTTGGGTGTTTTGGGCTCTAGACTCTCTTGTCTAGAGATTTGGGAGAGACGATCCTCCTCTCGAATTGAGGATCACTTGTATCTTGATTTCGTGTTGCTTTTGCTTTGTTTCCCTTATTGCAATTTAGTTATTTGGGGCTGATTTCGCCCAGATTTTGGCTGAATTCTCGCTGTTTTATCTCCAATTAGTGATAGGTTTGCTTGCGAACTCAAGTATTCCCTTAGGGTTACTTGCGAACTCAAGTATTTCCTATCATACACTTTGTCATTTCGCAGGATGTTTTTGGCCTTGCTGCTACTCCTTTTATTGTATTTTCATCCAACACATGGGTCTGCTATTATGAGGTCCCTCTATTGCCATCTGATTTTATTTGCCTAATTGGTAACATATATTGAAGTCCCTCTATTTGCTTGGAGCTGACCAATCCTTGAGCAATTTTCAAAAATAAGTTGATTTTTGCTATTGGGCGGAGACCCATTTTCCTCATCTATGGGCTTTCCACATAAGAATCCAAATCTCTTTAACTTTGTCTTCAAGTTTGCATAAGTACGATAAACATAAAACTCTCTTGCTATCATAATTCATGGAAATGCCTTTTGGCAAGTAATAGGGCTCTAAAAATAATCTGCTCAGTAGAAGCGAGCATGAATTTCCCCAACACTGAGGGGCTCCATTTAAGTTATAACCGACGTTTAAATATGGATCATGATAGCTCGCTTTGATGATGGTAGTGTCATTTTATGTAATTACGTATGATATTGAATGAAGTAAATTCTTGAAGAACATTTAATTCATTGTTTGGAATCACATTTTATTTTGAAAAACATATCTTTATTGTTACACTGGATGTAATGCCTCTAGATAGATTATTTTCTATTATAAAGGAAGAAAAATCTATTTTCAAGTTTATAATGTGATTCTTGGAGAAAGTTCACCGGAAATGACTTTAACAAGCCAAAGGAAATATAGTTAGGGGTGCTGCAAAAAGGATTTCTTGGGAATTAGGGCATTATGCAATGCACAGTTTCGAGGCATCATTAATTTGGATTTGTTAAATTCAGAGAATTGGAGAGAAGAAGGCCTAATTTTATTGCTCAAAACTATCCCTATTTCTAGATCTATACAAGATATCTTAATAAAGAAATAAATAACTATAGTTCATGCATAATTGCCCTAATATAATCTTTCCTAGATCAGCCACCCAAATGTGGAAGGAGATCGGCGTGATCCAGGTGATCCTTCCATGGATCCCCATACTGACCGTGGGATTAAGGGCCAAGGGACGGCTGAGATTTAATAAGATTCATGGTGCTATTCTCAAGTAGTTGTGATAAAGCTAGTTATGCTGTGATGATTTTTTTACCCTGGTTTTAGATTACTTGTATTTCCTATTTCCTTGTATTAGTTTTTTTTTTTAATGGTCTTTTTCAATTATCTTTATCAACTTCTGTTTTCCTTTTTTCTTTCAAGGGTCAGTTACAACATCATGGACTATCACTTTTGGAAAATGGCGCAATCCCAAATGCAACAGTTTTATGTATGTCTACTTTATCATAAAATTTCATGAGCTTTCTTAAAGAAAAGGGAAGGCTTTCTTTTTCTCTATCTTAACTTTATTGGTTTAATATTAGGAAAGGGTTGTTCCCATATCTCATATGTTAAATGAAGAAGTTACAATAGAGAAAATGATCACCTATAAGTGCACAAGCTTCATAAGCTGTGTTTCGTTAAGATTTAAGTCAAATATGGTACTGAATGAGGTCATTTTCTTGCAATGAAAGATAAATAGACCAAAGCACGTTGGCCTTTGTATAACTATTAATATGTTTAGAATTACTATTATTTTAAGTGGAGCCCCGATTTGGAGCGTCTATAAAGGAAATTTTTTTTAAAATGTTAGTTACTGTTTGCTGATGTTGTGGTTATGCACTTGCAGATCAAGACGTTGTACCAGTGTGCAAGGACTTCTTGAAGAATGCTTGTAACCGTGACCATTGTAAATACTTCCATCTCATTCCACAATCTGAGGTACATAAACAAATTCTTCTAAGATATTTAAAGAAAAAAAAAAAAAAAACTGCCCCTTCTTCCTGATATGCAAATTTTATTGCATTTTTTTTCTCAACTTCCTTATTTTTTCTGGGTATATATTTTACTTTGTTAAAGTTTGGGAATTAATTGTTTTGCCACACTACGATGAATGGAAGATCAATCATAACCATGCTACAATTTAGAAATGAGCACTTTCTCATTGGTTACGTGCTTAGAATTTGTTAAAAAAGAGGATCTGAGAGTGAAAAACTTAAATTTTATTAAGCAATCTACTCCCTATTTATAGATCTATACAAGGGGTATCGATAAGGAAACAAATAACTCTTATAATAACATGAATATAATTATTCCTAAATTAATGGAAGGAATTAATGCAATCCATGTAGTCTTCCCACTGATTACTGTTCACAGCCGTGGATATCTTTGGGATCGTAAGGTTGAGATTTAACAGAATTGTATATATGCTATCAAGTTATCCAACACAAGATGCTAAGGGAAGTTTGAAATTATTAATATTTGAAATTACCTTGCTGTCAAAGGAAGTTTAAACTTTCTTATCATCCAAAGAGCAGAAAGTTCATTATTATTCTGTATTTAGGTTCCAAGTTTATGGTGGATGTATTTAGTATTTTCCTTCCTTTTAAATGGTAATAGTCATCCTGTATTCTGGCATTTTAATTGGGATTTAGTTTCAAAGTCGTATTTCTTTTTTCCCATAAGATTTTAACTTTCTCAGTTTCTCTCATTTGTATGCGTGGGGCTATGTGCGTAGGTTTATTTGCAGCAGCATGAAACATTTGTTAAGCTTCACGGTTCTTCACTTGAGACTGGTACGGTTCTAATTGTAAACCCCTCTATATGTAAATTTTATTGGTAAATAAAGTTTGTTGCGTTTACCAAATCACGGAAAGAAATATTTACTTTCTTGAAAGAAAAAAAATGCATGGAGATAGGAGGAAAAAAGTGCGAGAGAGAGAGAGAGAGAGAGAGATTAGTATTATTCAGCATGGTAAAAAATACTTCTATAAATAGTTTCCCAGCTCCTGCTACAGGGTCATTTTAACTTGATGGGGGATTATTACACGTCATCCTGTTGTCAGTCTAACTTTCAAAATGCATCCCCAAGCGTATGATTAGTCCTTACGTTTCTGTATTCTGATAATCTTCAATTGTCAACCTATACAGAACATTTTCTTTAAAGAGATTGCACCATTGTTTTGACTTATTCACTGCTGGTACTGTTTTCTTACATATGATTTATGTCCACGCAGAACAAAAAAGGGTATCCGTTTGCAGGGATTTTTTGAAAAAAGCTTGTCAGCGAGATTCCTGTAAATTCGCCCATCCAAATTCACGAACAAAGGTGTGTATAGAGGTTGCATTAGGAATCTATGATTTCTTTCTATGCAACCTATAATCTATTTATTCTTGTTCATATTTGATGTTTGTGTATATTCTTGTTCATAATTGATAGGTTGTTGACAATCAAGTTGAAATTTGTCATGATTTTCGTCGTGGACTTTGTCATCGAACCAATTGTCGTTTTTATCACCCGCACACTCGCAGTGCTGAGAAATAGAGCACTAGGCAGGATCGAACTGCAGCCATTTTATTATTAGGTTTGATTTTTTAAATTTCTTTCACTGATCTAGTTTACCATATGAAATTAAGTTATTCTTTTTTGCATGAAACTTAGAAGCTTCTCTGCTAAAGTGATTACATTTTTCATTTTCTGATTCTTGTCACTGCTTAGTGCCACCATATAGTACCAATCCATGCAAATTTTGAATTTCCGCCAAAGAATATTTGGTAAAGCCTTAGGACTTATTTTGGAAAATCACATCCATCAAACATTGTTTTGCTCTTTTTGGAAGCTATAATTTTATTGTGCTTTGGGAGTGGGCTTTTGCTTCAAAGCTTCTTATTAACGAACTACAAATTTTGACATAAATTACATCTTTTTTTATATATTTTATTTTTCCTCTAATCAAGTACTATCTTGCTGGTAATAGCAAATGGAAAATTTTGCATGAAAAATGGAAAATGCTCCAACTGCAAAATACGGATTTGCAAAATTTTTTTCTGAGAGAATCCTTGGTTACCTATTTAAAATTAGGTTACCCTGGATGCTCGAAGATCTTAACACCATTTAATTAGGATACTTTTCCTTTGAAAGATCGATGGTTATGGGAACAGTTTTGCTTCCAATGCCTTTAACAGTTTAACGTCTCTCTGAAAAGAGGTGGATTTAAATTCAAAATAGAATGTGACCGTGGTGGGGCATCTAATTTTTCCAATGCATTTATGAAAATATGTAAACGAGGGCTGATATGCCTTGGAAAGAAAAACAACGAAAAAATAGTAGAAAACTGCATGAATACTAAAAACAATGGCTGATTTTGTATTATCACTTCAATGCAAAAATAAGATACAAGTGATCTACATATTAGAAAGGTCTAATAGGTAGATCAGCTCTCCTAAAAAACTTAGATGCTGCTAGGAAGCCTACAAAGAAAAGAACAAAAAAAAAAAGTTGTTTAAAAAAAAAAAAAAAAAAAAAAAAAACATAAATCACACATAATCCCTAATACAAAATAACTAGCCCCAAATAAGCTCTCCTAATTCTCTGGAAATCAGCCATATTTTAATAATTAATTTTTTCTCTTATTTGAATTCAAATTGAAAATATTTCTCTAAATAATTCCCTCTTCAAATTGGAAATCTTTCTCTAAATAATTCCCTTCTTATTTCTCCTCCTAACATAATGAATCATAGCTTTGCTGGGGCCCACAAGGGAGGTCGATACTCCTGCTCCAGGTTTCATTCGGCCTAGCGTTTGTTTCGACTCTTGCTGGATCGGTTGGCTAGGTTGGCCTAGCACGCCCCCAACTCTTGCTGCCGTATCAATACTCTGATAATCTCAAACGATATGCTACTGCCCAAATGCACTCCATTATGTCGCAGGTTGTGAGAAAGAGGGTGTGTGATCTCCGATAACACACCTCGGTTGTGATACATGGAATATTGAGTGTATTAATGATGATGCTAGTAATCTCAGATGATATGTTATTGCAACAATGCGCTCAGTCACCTCATAAGGCCTGAAGTAACTTGGTGATAGCTTCTCATTCTTCCTCTTGGCCAATGTCTTCTGTTGGTATGATTTCAGTTTCAAATAAATTTTGTCCTCGAGCTCGAACTGCACTTCTCGTTTATGTTTAGCTGCCATCTTTTTCCTAAGTTATTTTAAGCATCAACCATGATCTGCAACCATTTCATTCCCAAAATCACATCCGTACTCGCTTAGTCCAAGGGAAGAAAGTCTTCCACCACTTGAACTCCTGTAAGTTCATCACCACCCCCTTACATATTCCCCTACTCCTCTCTATCTTACTCGTTTTCATCATCATCTCACATCTTTACGTCTTCATCAACTGCAACCTCAAGCGGTCGACGACCCGATTCGAGATGAAGTTATGTGTAGCTTTACTGTCGTCCATTAGAACCACCACTGGTTGTTTCCCGATCTGCCCCTCATCTTCATAAGTGTGATTTGGAGTGAATCCCACCACGGAGTTTAAGGACACCTCTATCACGTCTAGATGTAAATGTGTCATTTCCTCTATGATCTCCTCGAACTCATCCCCACTCTACTCTCCCTCGCTGGCCATCAATACTTGAAGGGATCGATGCTTGCATCTATGTCCCAGTATAAATCTCTCATCATGTTTGAAGCATAATATTTTTGCCTGCTTATTTTGTACACCCGCCTGTAAGACACTTGAAATTGCTCTCCCTGGGGACAAACTCATGTGCTCATCTCCTTCAACACTTCCCTATGAAATGACATCGTATGGGTCCTAGCTGTTAGGGTCGTAGATGTATTCCTATAAGCCCCCTCCCATGGTGTTGCTATGGCCGGCCTTCTTCCTTTGATATTTTTCTTCCATCCTTCGAGCAAGCACCATAGTTTCCCTCAGCCCTCTAGGTCTCAACACCCTGAGCTCTGCTTGTATGTCTTCCCTAAGCCCCTTCATGAAATTCTCTTCCAACCCTTCATCGAAAATTCCCCTTAGCCTTCCGGACAACTGCTCAAACTTCTCCAGATACACCATATTGTCCCCCTCTTGAGTTAAAGCATACAACTGCTCGTGGAGATCTCATTCCCGAGGGGCTCGTAAATGTTCTAACAAACACTCCTTAAATTCCACGCTTGAACTCCTGTAAGTTCATCACCACCCCCTTACATATTCCCCTACTCCTCTCTATCTTACTCGTTTTCATCATCATCTCACATCTTTACGTCTTCATCAACTGCAACCTCAAGCGGTCGACGACCCGATTCGAGATGAAGTTATGTGTAGCTTTATTGTCGTCCATTAGAACCACCACTGGTTGTTTCCCGATCTGCCCCTCATCTTCATAAGTGTGATTTGGAGTGAATCCCACCACGGAGTTTAAGGACACCTCTATCACGTCTAGATGTAAATGTGTCATTTCCTCTATGATCTCCTCGAACTCATCCCCACTCTACTCTCCCTCGCTGGCCATCAATACTTGAAGGGATCGATGCTTGCATCTATGTCCCAGTATAAATCTCTCATCATGTTTGAAGCATAATATTTTTGCCTACTTATTTTGTACACCCGCCTGTAAGACACTTGAAATTGCTCTCC